CAAAATTATCTCTCAATTTATCACTAACATTAATATAAAGGGAGGCGAAGCCTCCTAACTACTTCTCACTCTAGTTAAGATGCAACTTCCCAACACAAAGATCGAAGATAACACGGTGAGAGAAATTGAGAAGCAAGCGAAAGGGATTGAATCTGGCTCTCAACAGTCTTTATTTGAATCAAATCATGATAATGTCGAAAATTTGTACCAATGATTTATCGTACGATTAGGCCAACTCATTAACAAAAGACGACTACATTTACTATCTAACCGTAAACCTCTACAATTATTGTCGATATCATTAAATCTACTTAACAGACAAGATCGCATAATTATGTGGGTGAGTTCAACGTGGTTCATATTATTCCAACTGACGTGTGAGAAAAGTTCATATCAATTGGTGTGGAGTATGTGGCGTAATTTTTGTTACCTAATTCAGGAATAGAAAGATTTGTGCCCAATCTTACTACAAAAGGATCCACAAGTATCTTTATGGTAAACCCGTTGACGATCTTACCAATGACAATTGGAAATAAGGTTCTTTGCACCGGTAGTTACCCAGTGCCTGTTGAACAGTACGTATTATATTATATCATCGATAATGTTAATGTTTTTTGACGCATGCTTAGATCAAAGTCATCGCAGCCGACACAAATTCAGCTCGGTTGCCAAGAGCATCACCGTGCTTGAAGAGATTTAGTGAAATGCAGCGACAGTTTTATGAACGGGCTATAGAACTACCTGAGTAATACAAATAATGTAAAGTACTAGATGTTTTAATAAAGTGTGTGATTGGTAGACTTCAAGAATTGACTGAAAAATAACCAAACAATAAGTTTAAATGATGACATGGATTAATCAACGAACTCGACTCTGATATTGTCACTCTGATTTTGTCACTCTGATTAACCAATCAAGCGTCAGAAATTTGTGGAAAAGAATTCGATCCCGATTTTGAGGATGACTTGATGGTTGTGACGTAATTGTTTGAGCCTTTTCATGCATGACGTAATTGTTTGAGGGTTTGAATTTTCGCCCGGATAATTCATATGCATTCGCATAACAAGTCCCAACGGAATATCCGTGTGTAATTGTTTGAGGCTCAAACAATTACAAAAAAGGAATAGTTTGAGGCTTTTTTGTGAATTTCAATTCACAAAAAAGTGAATTGAAATTCAGACTTTTGTCCGCTTCGGCGTGCCATATAAATGCTATATACAGTGATACACCAAAGTCAGCGAGGAATTTATTCGCAGTCATGTGATCATGTCAACCCGTTTTTTTGTGATGCAATCATATTGTGCGAGGCACATGCTTTTTTTCAATTGACTTTCAGATTTCAAGTTTAATAACTTAAATCCCGTGTTACGAGGTCGACCGCTTCTTCTTTTGCTTATAGGCATTTCTGCTCTAAAGCACTAAGGGAAGAAGAAATAATTCAAGCTATTGCACTCCAAAATTATGAAATTTTTTAAATATTGCTGGAATTTGTGCTATGCCACCAGTAAAAAAATTGGTGTTGCTCTTCGTTACACTATATGGTATATCAGTGGAGCAGAAGAAGAGGATGCGTCCTAGGGTGGGTTGGCCGATAGACAGCCTGTCCCATGTGGCTAGCCAGAGTATGTCAGCAGCAGGTGTCTGTGGAAATTTTCATCCCAGTTAACAGGCCCAACACTGGGGATAGTTAGTGTGTTGGGGCCTGTGGTCAGAAGATATTGTAATTGCGCAAAGTAGGGAATCATTTGATTTATTACACACAATAATAAGGTATATAGTCACAACCTCCTTATAGTCACACTTTTCTCGGAACTGACCTATATTAATATTGCACATTCTGCTTATATATATAGTCACTGTCACATTGTCTGTGAGAAACATGCACAATTACTCATTGTCAACTGATATAGTAGAAAGTAAATATATTGTACTTTGAAACGTAACACCGTATTGACAGTATATAACGGGCACGTTATTTTAAAGGAAAAAAAAATATGTCAAAGAAAACCATTAGTAACTGAAGAGAATCTGACTGAAGCTGATATAGTATCTATGATGATGCTATGGTAGAATCTGAAACTGTACTCTCAGATACTGATTATCATGAAGGGAATGAAGCTTAAGCTGTAGTAAACTGATGTCTAATATACAAGCGCTGGGGCTTTATTTTGTTTCAAGAGCAATCGTATTTACTTCAGATGAGCTAAACGTTCTGCGTCGCATGATATATACTTTTGAATATTTGATAGATAAAGCAAAAAAGCAATTATTACTAGATTGTTATTTGGAGAAACAATTATTGTATACGTGAATAATAATAAATTATTATTATATACAAACTTTGTGACACTTTATGTCATACTGTAATCCTCACATTCCCCTATTACTTATTACTATAGTCACTGATTTAGCAAGAACAGATGGAACAATTTTTTTGTGTATTAGTATTAATAATATTAATATATACTAATACTTATTTTAATATTATTCCGATCTGACATACAACCTCTATAAAATTTAGATGCAAAAAACATTCTTATTCCATAAGACTGATATAGAAATTTATATTGCCAACGTCCCCACCACATTAAATATACCATATAGAAAAAAACTTAAATTGTTCCAATCTTGTTCTTTAGACATAAAAATGTGCAATCAGTTAAACTGTTGTATATCATACCGAGCATTCAATATATGTTTAAAATATTTACCATATTAAAACGGATATTTTTTTTGATCAATTCTTGGTCGCTTTCGACCGTAGACGCAGAGTCCATTTCCTAATAAGTCGTCGGCGATGGTTTGCCAGAAGTTGGATTCATTAAAGAAATAAACTTTCAAATTTTCGCACTTCATCTTTTGAGGTAACTAAAGCTCGCCAAATATTTATAAATGCTTCGTTTTTATCTACCGCAAGTCGCACAATTTGATTTAAATGTTCTTTATTTTCTGGCTCAACTATGTTTAGAGCGAAATCAGTTAACTCTCCGAGTTCTTCATCGGTCATGTGCCTCTTTCTCTCTTGGAATTCATTTTCATTGTTTTCGTGTCTTCTCTTCATTGGTAAAACATATTGTTCCGTGAGTTCACTAACGGTCCAAGTCGATTTTTAACAAAACAGCCCCAAACCCATTGCTGACCATCATTTTCGAATGAGAGAAACCGGGATTCATCGCTCCAAATGATTGTATCTCATTGTTTTCATCCCAACCTTTACGTTCGCGACACCATCTTGAGCATTTTATTCTGTTATTCTCAGAAACGAAGGGGTTTCTCTTCCCAATACGGCCAAAAAAGTTATGGTTATGAAGCACACGTCTAGCAGTACGAGTACTACCTGAGTAAGGCCTAGGCTGTTGAACAGCTCAGTAATCTCTTCAAGCGATTCTTTCCTATTATCTTTGGTTACTCGCACAAGAGTTCGCTCTTCACGGTCAGTCAAAAGAGGTGGTCTTCCTAAACGAGGAAGAGACTCAGTCATCCCATCGTTTTCGAATTTGTTGATGATATCAGTGCAGGTAGTTCTGGGTATTCCGAGTACTTTTTGGTTGCTCTTGTGAAGTCCGATAATCATTCCGCGTTCAAAATCAGAGCGTTCACAAGACTTAGGCATTTTTTATAAAATCTAGTAATAGTAAATAAAACTAAAAAGTGGTTTTATAATTTTTGGAAGCTACGGTCTTTATCTGCTCGGGAAAAAAAACCACTTGAAATTAAGTTAGATATAAGTCGAGATATCTCATTTTGAATATAGGCTACGGAGGCAGAGTTTTATTCGCCGATCGTTGGCAGGGGAGTGTACTGTATCTTTCTCTGAAGTCAAGTGATTTTCACGGGAATCAGATGATCTTCATATTAAATTGCACCCAATCGTCGGACTGTTGAATTATATTTCGTATATTCCAGGTATTATAATTAGCATGAGGCAAGCCTTCGGCTAATAATAGTCTTTATTTTTTAGATTTAAGGCAAGCACGCACGTTGCGGGCTGAAGGCTGAAGATTCGTATTAACAGAGTCTTGATATGATCAAGATAATTAGTTAAATAAAACGATTTTCAATAAATATATCTGAGGCTTGATTCGCTTATTGTTGGTATATTATTAGCTCGACTAGTCTGACAGCTCACCTGGGCTCTCTCGAGAACAAGAAACATCTCACGGATTTCATTGACTGACAATAGTTTAACTGTTCTTACACAGAAATAACTTTCACCAAGACTACAGAAATTATAAGGACAAATATGAGTAAAGCGTTATTATTACCTCACATAGAACCGTGAATATGCACTATTTTTCTCATATTAATATTAGCATTGAATTAAAACATACTCGGTCTCTGACTTAACGTTCGCTCCTATCTCATATATTCTACCAATTCATTTTCCACAATTGTCGGTTACTATGCTCCACGGAAGTCCCACCATAAAATGTTATACGAGAGTTGTTGTTACTGTCTCCAACTTTGAACGCCTTGACTCTATTATATATTTCGGTGGCCCAGGAATATAACAAACTCGAGGTAAAAGCTCATCATATCGGTGTTTTTAATTCAATGACGCCAGGTCAGTGTCTTTTTATCGTACGAAAGTAAACTCACCCAACACATACACACCACATTCCTACTTACCATCAGATGCGGGCTCGACCTCCACCAGTCTCTTGTTTGATCAAGTCGCTAATCTGATACGACTCGCTTTAGAACATCCGAGTCGGCCGCAAATACTTGCTTTACTGCTAAGTATAATGCAGGTATACAGCAATGATAATTAATATTTCATCTAGCATTTTCTTTCATAAATTAAGATTAAAATTAATTCTCAGTACGGTATTAGATATAAGTATTTTACTATCCCGATAAACAATTTTCATTAATGGCATTACCTTAGTATTCCTATCTCAGTTTCCTGCAAACGCCATAGCACAGTTGCCATTGTCAGTAACTTATTATTATAGCTCTTTTCCCGTTAACGCCTGATTACGTTCATTACCTGCCAACTAGTGACATCAGCGATGCCACCGTTCTGGACGTGAGGCACTCTGAAATCAAAAAGAGATAAAAAAAAAGAAGGAAAGACTTAATCCAATTCGATTGGCTTACTGTTACTGGTTGCAAAAATGTTGATACACGAAATTTGTCACCTGAAACTCGTCACCCGAAATTCGTCACCTGAAATTCGTCACACTGCCCAAAAACCTCAAAATCAGTCTAAAAAAAACAATGCCAAACCCGCACCCCTTGCGTATAGTCTCTGTAGATCCCGCGCTTGCTTTGCCGCGGTTTCCTGCCCCATTCTTCTCCGTCATTATATTCAAAGCGGCCGTCGTGTGACCGTACCACAGATTTCCGTATTATCTGGACTAAATTTGACGATCTATCTTAATCTGGTATGGAGAGAAGTTCATCGAATATTAATATACCCTTAAATCTTAAATGGTAACGTGTATCGTAATATCTATATTATAAAAGTAGTGCATGTAAAAGCACAAGTACTACATTGCTTTACTATACATAATAAGTTGATATCTCGTATAGTCACTTTAGCGACGTGAATAGTTATAATTGTTAAAGTCGCGCGCGCGAAAGAATTTCAGTATCAAGAGAGATACTGCTCCCCGTCTGAAAATGTCAAATGAAAAATTAACCATTTCAATAATAAGGGAAATGCAGACTCATAAAGCGAGGTTCGTTCAGCCAGTTAATATCTGATATAGCATATTAACGCATACCATTACATCAATCAATGCCTTTGGTAAACGCTCAACCAATTACGTACTTGTATATAGTAAACAATAATAGAGGTTGTCTTATTATTATGTCGTTCACCCGCTAAACTTATGTACAAATCTCTTTGACGCTCTCTAGTCAGATTATTACAACAGAACTACTGTACGAGAAAATAACTTGCTTTCGCCGTAATTAATGTTTCCAAATGGATTCGTAGAATATCGTGGTATTATCTAATTGTGAGGAGAAGAGTCTTATGTTATCACGCTGTTTATCTAAAGGGATCATTTAACAATTTAATGTTGCATTTTAAAAATGTAAATGAATATTTGTGTATTTATTAACTCTTAGTATACTAATTATATACAGTAATTGATACAAAATTCTCTTGCGACTGCAGCGCATGTCCTTGTTCTTCATATACTATATTTGCAATAAATACCTACACGTAGTCGCAATCTCTTACCCACCAAGGCTATAAAAATGCTCGCCAATAAATACCTACACGTAGTCGCAATCCCTTACCCACCAGGACTATAAAAATGCTCGCCAAAATGACACAATATTAATTATTCCGTGTAAACATCGAGCACACAATTAATTTAAGAACTGGCTATTATTATGTTGTTGCAACTTCATCAAATACTCTTGTGCTTTCGCTCTTTCTGCAGGATTTCTCGCGTTGACAATTACATTGTTCAACATCCTTCGACCATCTATATAACTCTGTCTATCGCCCAACTTTGCTCCATAGTCAGCGAGATCTTTCATACATCGTAGGTTACCCTTTTCTGCACCATCACGAAACACACCTAAACATTCGGTCTTCATTCTACTCAGAATTATATCGGCGTCTGTCTCGTCACCCGTATTCAGCAATTGCCTTCGTATTTCTGTGGCGGCAGCCATCTTCTCTTGAGCACGGTACTGAGTTGCCTCACTGCATCCCAAATCTTCCGCTACTTCCAAATAGCTCATTCCTACATTGGGGTCCTTAACGTTTCCTTCAATTCCGCGATTGAATTCTATTCTAGAGTCGATAAGATATCGGCCAACATAAAAGTTTGCTTCAGCGTCTGGTTCAGCCTTATCAGCCAATATCTTGAATTGTTCGAAGGCTTCCCTGTAATGTCTTTGATTGTGTAACCTGCGCGCTGTCTGCATCGTTACGTTTGGATGTGTAGGAGCGTATGGATCATATTCAGTTAAGCTACTACTAGACATCATCGTGCCATCGGAAGTATACCCATATGCATCGAACGCCTTTTCTAACTTTTCTAACTTTCGTACGACATATTGCATTGTCGGACGACTCCCGGCAACCTGTCTCCAACATTTCTGCATTACGCTTGCGTACTTTTCTGGTGTACCCGGAACTATTGGCGGGCGCGGAGCATCCGCATCTTTAAGTCCAACTGAAGTTTTTAACATCATAAACACTTCACCAATGGTTTTGTCCGAGAAAGGAATTTCATGAGAAGTTATTTCCCACATAAGCATACCAAAGCTACATATTTAAACATTAAATATAAGTAAATATAATTGCTTACACTAATGTCGATAACTTGAAATTATATTGTAACTATCACCGAAAAATGACAATGAAACTTACATACCTGTATACATCGGCTGACGTCGAGTACGGAAGCGTACCATCCCTCGTTTTTTCAGGACATAACCATCTGACACCATCGGTCTCTTCGGCAACGGATGTCGTGATGTCTTTTATGCCTCTAGCACGATGATAGTTTGCTAATTTGACGTTATCGTTTTTATCCACAATCACGTTATGACTAATTTCGGGGGGAAATAAGAACGATTTAGCTGAACACGAAAAAAAACGCCTAATTCGACATTGCAATACTCGCTTTTCTACCTGCGAATGTCATGGTGTAGAATGAGCTTACTGTGACAAACGGCGAGCGCACTTGCTAATCGAATTGCCCATTTTATCTTCTGTGTCCATGGGATATTTCTGTTTGTCTTAAGGTATTCGGAGAGCGGTCCCTTTCCCGGCCACTCTGTAATCATGTAGTAAATTCCTCCTTCCAGTAGAATACCATAGCTATGATAAACAATAATATTCGTCAGCAAATGGTGGATACGAAGCGGGTAACAGTAATGCAACGACAATACGTACTTTTTCATGAATAAATCCGTATTCAATTTGGAGCTAATAAAGGCCTGTACCCAATACTTGCTAATGTCATCGTTCGTGGTTGCAATTTTAACTTTTGCCGCATAAAGACCACCACAGTATATAACCTTTGTAGGACCATCACCATTAGGTTGAGTATCATGAGCGGGATTGATTAGTTCTGGGCTAATTGTCAATTCGGCTATTTTTTCCTGTGATAACGGAACGCCATGACAAATTGCAGTAGTTAAGAAGGAATCTTTAACTTTCGCTGTCACAGCGTCTTTCACAACTGTGACATCAATTTGCATAGCATTTAACTTATTATCCAAGTCCATCATGCGTTCATCCACCCTCTCTGTGATTCCTAATATCTGCTTAAGGCGTTTATTGTTTTCCAAGGTTACTCTTAAATTAGCAGCATTGAGGGCGGTGTCCAGGTCAGAAAACAAGTCGCGTATCTTTCGATCTATCTGTGAAGTAAAAATTTATAGCAGAAAAACAATTCAGCTTGTCTTTCGATATAGAAAAAATCATATAACAACAATCTATTCTTGTTCACCTTATCGGCATTAAGGATGGTCAATAGTTTTCTCATTTTAGGCTTGGTATATTGGACCAGAAACTTTTCCCAGTTTTTCAGCGCCTTCATCAAACTCGGGGTATATTCGTCGTTTATTGTTTCACTATTGTCGCGGATTGTCTGCTTCACTTCTAGCATATACTCTTTCATGTAAGGCAATGCTTCTCTATTATATCTTGCGGTGTCGATGAGCACAACGATTCGCTCAATAACAGCGAACAGTTCGGCTACACCGGGAAAATACACCACTTTCGCTACAGGCGAAATTAATTCTATGGAAGCACCGAGAAACCCTCTAAATCTTTTCGCCATCTTGAAACAGTCAATTTAACGTTCTTGGTTAGTTGTCGACTTTTGTCTACAGTTGAGAGAATGATGAGTTTGCATTAGTTACACTTACGATTGAATGTTAAAGGTACGAGTTACTGGTGAATGGATGATGGCTTAAAAATCGTCTCGGAAATCTGCTCCGTCGTTTGTTCAGCCGATTCTTTTTGTTACACCAAATGCCAAACGCAGGCCAATGAGAAATAATGTGACGTTGGTATGCCATATTGGAACAATCCATTAGAATACATACCCTTCACTTGCGATTCTCTAGAAGCATCATCAGCCCGGACAATGGGGCAGACCAACTATAAATGAGAATACAGAAATACATAGGATGATTCGGGATCAACAGATGAAGCGCAAATGCTTTTAAACAATGGAGGTTAGCATCTGGCTCACGAAATCAACGCTTAGCAAATTTCGATAATGCATTTGCCACACATTATGATTACATTTGGGTTTTTTTTCCATGTCACAGACATGCTGCGCAATTTACACAATAAGCCATTCGCTGAAATGCCAATTTATAGAAGATTGAGTAATAGTCTCATAGACTAAAACGTTCAATTGAAAGCTATGATAATAGAAAGATTGAACTTGAGTTTAATGCATGCATTTGATAAATACTTTATTATACTTTGTTTCATCTCTGATGTGATCTTGTTGTTGATGCGTTCACTTAATAATCATTCCAACTTTTGACAGATAACTGATATTCGAGTGTTGGCATTATTATCAGTGTTATAGATTATCATCATCAGAATTCATGTGGCCAATTATAAGACGCGCATTCATCTGTACCTTCTAGAAGTTACGTATGCTACTCATCGTCGCAAACGCTAAACGATCAATTGGCTAATTATAATTATCCTCTGATCATCTTGACATAATGTACAACTTTGATTGAATAAAGAAGAGGTGATCAATGCATTACTATTCTCTTACAATGACGCTCATTTAACCAGTCTTAAGTCAGTAACTACTGACTTCTTGATTGATATAGTCAACTCTGGCTATAATACGGTCCAATTTCGCTGCACCAAAAAATTCCATATTAATCTCACCCCCTTATAAAGGCTGATCTTAGTAACTCTGTTTATAGCAGTTCCGGCACAAGTTACACATACCATGTAGACCAAATTATATAAAATATTTTACTTTACACCGGCGAAGTCAAGCGATCGTTCATATGTATTGATAAATTGTAAACGTAACAATTCTCCTTTGTTTAATTAATGTTATTATCGTTTATTAGAATTTATCGATATCGACAGGAATATCCCGGGTGAGTGATCAAGAGATAATCCAGTAATCAATTTGGTTCTTCAAGTGATGATGAAGCGTCAAATAGCGCTAATGATGAAGAAGAGTTATCAAAAAGCATTTCATACAAAGAAGCTCATTCTGCAGTTCAGAGACGCTGATGTTTTTAGAACAAAAACGTATAGAAGTCAGTAGAGATCATCTATTGCTAATGTGACGATTACTACGTGATTATAGAAAAAGAGAAGATAAATCGTATGAAACAAGGTCAACTATATTGTTCCGAAATAAAATATCATTTTATTGAACAAATCATGTGGCTACATAGTTTCCTGCATGTGTAACAATTTTATACTGGTCTCGCCAAACCGGCGAATGGGAATGTGTTATCCAATCAACAAACGGTAAGATTGAATACCGCTTCGAAAGTTCGATGTCAGGTAATAATAACGATCTTTGTCCTTACAACATTCATAATTTACGCTCATTGTTATTCCTACCTGACGAAAGATATCTCTGTGTAGGAACAGCGCAGCGTCTTGTATGTCATTGTGGCCAGAGAAGAGAATTGGAATGTAAAATGAGCTCTTGATTGGGCATCAGTATGGAAATCAAACATTGAAACAAAATGAGTGCAACGGAATAATGACTGATCTGTAGGGGTGCCGATGCTCATAGAAGATAACAACGTAACTCATTTTCTCCGCCTACGGGTTGAAGCAAAACAACCATGTCAAATTACGTCTCATTTTCAATACGTAGGCACACTGTCGGCGATGTTGCCAGATAATTAGTTTTCATAAAGCTGGTTGCTAGAAGCAATGCAGAATTAAGTTTTCTAAACATAGTCGCGGATTTAGAATTGCTTTCTAATAAACTCTTGAATTCACAGCTAATCCTGGTTATGCCAATGTTTGATTATAATTGAGCAAGGCGAGAATTGGAAATTGTGAACTGCCAAAAGCAACAGTTATGAATAACGATTGCGAGTGAAGAACTGTCTTTTTGAAAGTCGTTAATATTCATTTTTTCGGTTTCACAATATGTCAACATGGGCTTCAAGTTTATAATCACGGTTAGATTTATTTGTTTACTCACAATACAAACATGTACTATGACATAAATTATAGATGCAAAATTTGATGATATTAATACGATTATTTACTAAATATAAAATATACACATATAAATAACCAAAACTGCCGACAAGGCGTGAAATATATAATAACTGTTGATGCGGAAAAAACGACAAATTAAATTATTCACATTCTTCTAACAACGCACGTCAATTAAACCAAAAGTCTGCATAAAATACAATCACACGGATCTTCATTCTCAACCCATGACTGTGCCTTCGTGCTGTTCCAACTTCTCCAAAAATCCTTGTGCTTTATCTTTCTGCTTAGAATCTTTCGTTGTTTCAACTATGTCTTTTAACATTTTATAACCGTCGTCATAACTCTTTTTATCTCCTAACTTTGCTCCATAATCAGCTAAATCTTTCATACAACGCAGATTACCCTTCTCCGCCCCTTCGCGAAACATTGGCAGACACTCTGTCTTCATTTTTCCCATAATTACATCCGCTTCAGCGAGTTTTCCCGCTTCCATTAAACTTTTCCGTAGATCCATAGCTGCAGCGATTTTCTCTTGAGCATGAAATTGAAGGGCATCATAACATCCAAGTTGAGCCGCTATTTCCAAATAACTTATCCCCACATTTTGATCATTTTCGTAATCGATTCTGTCGTCAATAAGGTACCTGCCGACGTAGAAGTTTGCTTCAGCGTTGGGGTTCTCGTCATCAGCGAGCTTTTTATACTGTTCGAATGCTTCCTTGTAGCGCTTT